TGTTATTTAGAGGTAAAAGATCAGTAATCAATTGATTTTCACTCAAAAATTTCGGAAGGAAGAGGGGGAAAAAATTTGAAAATTGGTGATTTCAGGGCGTGAATACAGCGCATCATAGGGTTAAATCATTAAGCAGTTTTTGGGGATGTCTAGCCCTTTTTCGAAGACCTTTCAAATCGCAGAAATCAATATCGGGAACACCTAAGCTACGATTCTCGATGAGAAACATGTCTGGGGAAAGTTGAGATTAAATCATTTGAATTTTTGGGCAGATAGGTAAGAGGTCTAGAGTTAATTATTGACTCACAGTCGCACAATACTGTGTACAATTCCTTGGTTATAAGAACCGCGTTACCGAGTGTCCTTCTCAACAGTTCCTTTACTACGCGAACTAACCTCTCCCACCAGCCTCTTGAAAGCATATCTGCCGGGTTTAAATAACCTGGTACATGGTGCCAACACTGAGAAGGAATCAGACTGTTTATTTCTTTTACCGTATTCGCAACGAAAACTGACATCACCACGGTTCTTAATCCACCAGAGTGGTACCATAGAATCACTCCATGCAATAATTTTCAAATTGGGCTAATCGAAGGCAGCGTATACTAAATGTTCCAGTCTCGCGCGAATGCAACAGGCCATCAACTCTAACCGGGTATTGTCAGAGGTTTTAACTGCGCTACCCTGGATTTGGCTCTGATCAATCGAATTTTGACTCCCATGGGTGTTAGTGTTCTAATGTAGACACATGCACCATAGGAGCTCTTACAGGCATCAATGAATAGATGTACCTTTGAATTCCCATTTATCTCTACATATCGTGGAATACAGTAGAAGTCCAGAAATCTGCAAAGCTTGGGACCAGAGGTTGTGCAGATTTTGCGGATTTCAGGACAGAAAAGATAAATCATAATATTCAGACTAAAAGTGCAAAATAAATAAGGCGTATTAGATACATTTAATTAAATTATTATATACATTATTGCAATAACTTATTATATGCATACAGCATCGAGGTTTGCCGATTTCACCTCATGCAAAGATTTCTGGTTTCGGATTCCGGTGTTAGAATTACTGTTGCTGGAAATTTTCAACAGCTTTTCTTTATTTTTCCATATATCATACACAATCATATCGCAATTCCATACAATTCTGCTATAAAATGCACCTATCTCCATCTTTTGCAGAATTTGCACTTTTTGCATTATCGTCAATGCAACATGTTTACGTTTTTCAACGTTGCAAGCAGTAAAATCATGAGTGCATGTCGTATCTGTAATTGCATTAAAAAGGGCTGAAATTTAAAATATTCTTAATTTATCCACAAAATATCTGGATAAAAAAAAAGGCAGCACTAAATAGTCTCGTGAAATAACAAAGCTTATCAAATACAACAACGTGAATCGGGAACTTGAAAGAAGAGTTGAGTGAATCATCTGCTTTCTAACCTCGATGCAGAGATTAGAGGAGAGAAACTTTTTGTCATGATGTCAATAATTGGATATTTCCGTTATGGCTCCTTAAAAAGGGCTGAAATTTAAAATATTCTTAATTTATCCACAAAATATTCGGATAAAAAAAAGGCAGCACTAAATGCTCTCGTGAAATAACAAAGCTTAGAAAATACAACGTGAATCGGGAACTTGAAAGAAGAGTTGAGTGAATCATCTGCTTTGTAACCTCGATGCAGAGATTAGAGGAGATAAAACTTTTGTCATGACGTCAATAATTGGATATTTCCGTTATGGCTCATTATTTTTCGGTAATTATGACGTAATTATTTGGTAAGTATTTTTTCTTCGATATTTCTTGCTCAATGTTGCATTTCCGGAACGTATAAACTGAATGTTTATAATTTGAGAGGCAACGTGAATTTCAGGAGTTCACGGATTTCAGGTTGGCGAATTTTCGGTATTTGACTTTACTAATTTTCTCAAGATACTTAATTTCATCCTGCCACTTCTGAAAAGTTTTCTGAATGTTGTCTGGCAAGGGGGTCATCCCATTTAATTTCATAGTCCAAGCCTCCTGTCATAGTAACTTAGGTAACAAGGTAGTTGGACTAAAAAAACCCTGCAGATCAAAAATTTTATGTACCATAGCCAAAATATTATGTTTACTTATCTCATTATCCATTGAATAATTAAGATTACATTTTAATGTATCATTATCCAAATCCCATAAGATTCCAAGAAGAGAAGTTATACCTGAACTACGGGAAATACAATGACCTGGAACATTACTTTCCCAACCCCGTAGGTTAAAACATCCCCGAGTCATTACTTTTGTCACCTTAACTATAAACGTTTCTTGCTGTTTGATATCGTGAACCCCCAGTGACACAATTGTCAACATAAAACGAATGCTTTAATTTTTGGGTCACATCGTCAAACTCGGCAGTGGAATTATCCAACAGATGCTCTATCGATGCAGAGAGTTGGAATGGAGATGAACAAACGCCGAACACCACTGTGCAGTGTCTGTAAATCATAGGTTCTTCAAGAGTTGGAAGAAAAAAACCTCAAATAATCTCAATGTTCTGGGATAATACTCAGCTGAAGAAATACTTTCTCAATGTCCGATGATAAACCAACTGAATGCAATCTAAACCTGTTGATTATATCAGGTATGAGTTCAATTAAATTCGGCCCTCTATTTAGACAATCATTTGGAGACGGTTTATTTCTCTTTCGGGCTGAAGCGTCAAACACCGGCCTTACCTTCATTGTCTGGCTAGTATGCTTTATAACAGGTCTATGGGGCAAATAATAACTCAAATCATCAATTTCAGTTTCAGGAACCTTTCCTATTACTTTTAGGTCTTCCCATTGCTTACTAGTTTATAGTCATCTAACTGATTTTCCTCATTAATTTGTAGACACATTCTTTGATGCCTTTTAAAAGCGATAGACTTATTGTTAGGTAACAGAATTTCAGATTTAAAGGGTAGTGGCAATTCATATCGGCCATCAGGAAGAACATTTAAATTCCCTTTACCATTGCTTAACGGTGTCAGAGTGAGCAAGTTTACGTTTAACATCTTCAGTAGTGGTCTGTTATGCCAATGGCGTCTAAATTCCAGAGTTCAGTTACGCTAAGATTAGCACAATGCAACAAAACTACATTATTGCACAAATTATTTTCTAGTAATGCTGAAATAGTAGCTGAAGTAGTTTCTTTAGATAAGCTGTTTACTTTACCAATCACAGTGTATCCGAATTTAGTCTCAACTACAGTTACACTACAGACATCGAGTTCAGTTTCAGAGAGCTGCCAGTAATAATGTCCCCAATGGCATCTGCTCCTAAAAGCAATTCAATGTCATATTCTTTAGCTTGCAAATCAGACAAGGTAATATTTCTTTCTTTTAATTCTTTTAGGGTATTGGGATCAACTACTTTTGGAACCCATCCACATATTATGTTTTGAGAAAGTACTTCAAAGTTATGGTCATATGTGCCCTCAAAATTTCTCAAATTAACATCAAACACTAAATGGGAATGAGGACTTGTCTCTCTCCCCCCAAACTAACCGTGTATAATAGTTTGTTTCGATTTAGGACGCAGGTGCAAAAACGTGATGACCTTTTCTGAAAGATAAGATTTCGGAGAACCACTGTCCAAAATGGTACGAACTGTAAGTTGCCTACCTTCGAATACTATTTTTAAAACAAGTGTTTGCAAATACACATTTTCATTAACAGTTGACTGATTAGACAATAAGTTACTTGAAATAACGGTACTGTCAGTTTCATTTGGCTTTACAGGTTTGCCATTTGAGCACATAATGGTATAGGGAATTTTATCACAAGTCAAACATTTTACTTTACTTTTGCATGCCTGTGAACTATGTTCAACTCGGAGGCAGTGAAAACAGGCGCGCTTTTGCACCAAAAGCTTTCATTTATCTTCTAAAGACATTTTATGAGCAGAAAAATATTTGGCAGAATTGTGGGATTTCTCACTAAATATAAAATGTAAATTTCGCCTACCTGTATTGTTTTAAACATTTACCAAAGCAGCAGCTGTAGAGCAACCCGGATCATCAGCATGTGGATGCGAATGAGCAGAACATTAAGCTCCCAACCCGGTACGAGCGAGCTTAATCATTTCCTCACTTTGCACTTCGTTTCGAAGAAAGCACAAAAGTTTATCCAAAGAACGTGCACTATCTTGCTGGGACACAATATCTTCCATCGAGTGGCTTCTTTCCCATGCACGTAGAACGTATTAAATATTATACATCACTCTAAAAATTGAACTGAGATGGACTAATTTATGGGTCATTTAAACTGCACTCGAGAAGAATCCTGCATTCCAGAATGTTTGTAAATAACTGATTAATTTTTAAGAAGTCGTAAAATTACCTTGCACATTAATGATGAGAAAACTCCAGAAGTTCAAATGAAGTGTACTCATTGCATCATAAATCTGCTACTTGAGTTGGGGAAGGGAGCATTCTTTTAGATGTAGGACAGTCACTTCATTGTTATCTTCTTTTGGTTAAAAAACATATGACAAGTATTTTTTTGTTTAATGTGTCCCTATTGGATACTATATAATATCATTCATTAGATCGTTTTTTTAAGGAAATGTCACATTAATCATATGCCATTATTTGAAACATATCTGTTAATAAAATGTAGTATTTAAATAAATATAAAAGTTAGAGAGGTGTGAACATGCTTTTCTTTAATAGTTATGTATGTATTGAGGCAAAATTATATTTTTATGTGTAATAAGTCATTTTTTGGATTTTTTTTTTTTTTTTTGTAGGTAATATGTATTAAAAGGCCACTATAACAGTTTTCCTATAGACTAACCCCCTCCCAATAATTCTGATACTTTATTATTGCAAAAGTAAGAAGGCAACCTTGTACAGACAAAAATTTTAACTTTGTGCTGTTGTTTATGTTGGATGTTGTAATTTTCTTTCCTTCACTTTTGTGCAAATTTTTTTTAGATTTAATAGTAAAGATTTTTATTTACTGTTTTTTATAGCTGCATTCCAGCATGTACGTGAAAACATTGAGGACCTTAATGGAAAAGTTGGTGCTAGAGATACAGACATTATTTTTTTAAAGGGCTTAATGGAATCACCTGTTGTCAGTTCTCTGGTTAAGGTGAGAAATTGCATAAAATAATTAATATTTTTTATGCCTGTTTAAAATTTATTCAGTGAGTATCAAATCTGTTTAACTTGTTACCTGTACCAGATATATGATAAGTTAAACAGTTTAACAATTAAAAAGATATTGTGATACCATTATTAAACAGTTTAACAGCCAGTGAATGGTTTCTGGTTTCTTTTCTTTCATCCCCACCGACTGGAAGAAGCAATTAAAGAATAAAAAATCTTTTTTACTCTGGAAAGAAAGAGGAGGTGTATTGTACTATAGCATGGACAGAGTTGGCCTATATAAACCTGCTTTGTAAATCAAGGGTTGCCAAAATAATGAGTAATGGGGAGTTCATAAAAAAAAAATAAAAATCGTAAGAAAATTATGAAAAATTCATTCATAAAAAATTATGAAGAATATTGATAGTTTTGGAATCTTTCTGAGAAAAGTTTCGAAAACTAGTAGCTTCTGTCCAATAAGTAACATTTACCTTTTCATCTCTAGAAAATCTTCAGATTATGTGAAGGTCAACCTTGTTGCGTTAATACCGGAGTATCAGTTTTAGTTTAATACGAAAAGGTTATGATGCGTGATTAATTGTAAATACCTTTTAAAATGTAATTTATTTTACAATACTGTAATTGTTATTATTCAAAAACCCTTTATGAGGTAGATTTAAACTCTGTTTATTATATAAATTTCACAAGAGGTTGTCTCCAGACTTTAATTGAAACAACTAAATGGTCTTTAAGATGAAAAGTGTGTCAATCAGAGTATTAAATGCTTTAAAAATAGAATAAAAGCACAAATTGAGAACAGCTGAATTATGTTTTATTCCTGGGGGGGGGTAGATTGTATTTATAAGATAAGCTTCTTTTTTTTAATGCACACTTCAGTACGGATGAGAAATGTGCAGTTGGTTTGGGGCTGCAAATTATTTTGCATGAATATTAATTTATAATATGGTTCATCAATAGGAAACATTTTTATACTTATCAAAAACTTAGATTTCTAGAAGTTCAAGTAATTGTAGTTGTACTGTTATTGTATTATCTCCTGTGATTTCAGTCTCGTAAACAATTTCAGTACTTGCACATTCCTGCTATAATGGAGGTAATTTTATCTTCATTTGGATGCTTATAATTGATGATTATTTTTTAAATGCACTAGCAAACCTATTAAATTGATCGTTTAATTTATTAAAAAAAAGTACACAAGAACTGTTGCAAATGTTGGGTAATAATTGTTTATATTCATTAAAGTGCTCAACAGTGACCAGGTATTACAGTCTCATTTTCAGAAATTAAATAAAGATATGACAAGATTTAAAAAAAATAAATTAAAGATATTTTTGCAAAAGAAGGTTCATGATTTTTTGTATATATGTCTTGATACTAGGTGTCTAATAAAACTAAAAATAATAATTCATTCATGAGAAAGCAGTCACTAATGAAAGCAGTGCAGGAAGAACAGTCCAAATTCTTCCAATCTCCTGCCCCTCAAATAAACCTGAATTATAACTTCTATTCAAAAAAGAACTAAATAAAATACATCTAATGAGCACCATTATTATTAGTACAGTACAAAGTCCAAAATCCATACTCGCCGAGACTTCGGCGATTCCGAATTTGGGATTTTTCTGGGTATTAGATCATCAGTTTAAATTTAGTAAGATAGCATGTAGAAATTATAAAATTAAAAATATGAAATCGGGATTTATGAAATAATGAAGTATTTATGATCTAAAGGGTATCAAAATTTACAAAAAAAAACTTAATATTTATTTGTTTACCTTATTAAACATTTCTTTCAATGTAAGGTATTCCGTTTTTTGTATTAATACTTTTCTCTTTAATTCTGTGGACAGACATAATTTCCTCTTCAGTTACATTGTTGGAAGTCCTGTACCTGCTGTTTCGAGAATTCCGACTAACTCGTCAATCCAAGTTTTCTCGTTTTCAGTACCTTCTCTGTCACTTTCTTCACTATCAGTAGCAGTATTTTCTGGATCTAGAACCATACTACAGATTTCGCCATTCATTAATTTGATTGATGATTGAGAAGCATTGTCATCACACTGAAAAACTTCTTTTATATCACCTTCATTTATTACTGCTTCTCCACATTTCTTTACAAAATCTGTTAACTGGAAAATTTTACCTTTTTTTGCAATATCCGAAAACCTTTCAAATTAGTGGCTATCATCATCAAATTTAGCTATCCTTCACTATACGTATTTGGCTATGCATCATGTGCTTGGCAACTAACAACAGGTTGTTCCGGTAAGTTTTATCTTCCTTCTATTGCGCACTGAGACAATTAAGCCTGAATTGTATTAGTTTAGTTATTTATTATACTTATGTCTATTTCTTACACATGCTTAAGTCTTATCAGAGTTCTGAATAAATAAATTTCCACATATATTTAACCCTTATTGAGGGCCGATGCTAGATATTTTACCGCTTGATGCAGTCTCTGTGGGTCCTAAATTCTGCGACTCAGTGCGGCCATATGTGCCCTGGCGCTGGTTCTAGGTTTATGTGAAAAACAAATCAGTTATTTTTAATTCAAATAGTCCTAAATGTAATCTTTGGGTCTATGAGTATCATCAAATCTATTTTTAGCATACAGATAGAAATTTTTGGTAAATTTTCCCTCGTCGTCATTTTTTAGCGCATTTAACTTAAATCTGTAATCATCGCCAAGCATAGTGTCAACTTAAAAGGTTACCATACTCCTTTATTATTCAATTACTAACATAAAAAAAAAATGTACATGAGTCATTACTCAAGTTGTCATGTTTTGATAAACATGAGGTGATGAAAGGAAAGCATTGTAAATAATGATTTGCCAGTTTGGCGTCAGATCAACAATGTATCTATGTGGAATGTTTCGGTTTAAGATGTGTCAAAAAGCAGATACGCAGCAACAGAGCCAAATTACTGATTGTACAAACTTACGTTAAAATGTTTGTTTCTTCAGTAACAAAATATTTTATTTAGTGTCGATGTGAAATTAAGAATCGGGACTCTCCAGATGTTTTATTATGTGCGGTAGGGGGGGATTAAATGCGCATGCGTAAAGCCTAGGAGGAAAAAAAAAGTTAATAACACTTGCTTTGTTAAAAAAAAGAGCAATGCTTTTTTAGTCAGCATGTATTAGTCCTTGAAGATATTATTCTGTTGCATTGTTGTTAAGGGCTAAAAAAGGGTTTAAAAATATTCTGTTATATGTGAAAAATAATATATCATGTTCTTTGATTTAGTAATGTACAAAGTGCAACTTCTCGATTTTTTAATATCGAATGCAAATAAATATGTATAGCATAAATTTTTGACCATATATCTAAAGAAAAGTGAAATAATAAAAAAACATTACTGTAGAAAAGAAATTTGAAAATTTCTCTGAATTCTCTGTCAATTATTAACAGGTAAAAGTATAATTAAAGGTTTACATAATACAAAGGTAATTATTATGCCAAATATAGAATATTTCAGTACTGAAATTTTTCTAATAAACATTAAAAAAAATTCTCTCTTGATGTAAGTGATTAAGTGAAGGAAAGTAAAAATTTGTTACAAGAGAATCCAGCTTTATAGCTTCCCTAAAATTATATATATATACACTGATGGGCAATTGCTAAGCATGGATGACAATAGGAGAGATAGCAACCACGAAATAGAAGGCGTGAAAATTAGCATAAGTGCGGGATACAGGAAAGACGTGTTGTGCAATGTCATCATTAATGAAGGTGTATGAAATTATGATCCGGGACTGTGATGCATGCCTCACTTCTGCAGCGCATGGAAGATATGCATGATGCATGGTTCTTGCATCATGGTCTGAGGTCGTAATTTTGAATGCCTTCTTTGATGATGATCTGTATTTGGGTTTCTGCTGTACTTAGCATAAAAATCATGATTTCTCATTCTGTTTATGTCCTTCCTTTCATGTGACTTCATGAAAGCATTTCCGACCATGCATTGCTATATAATTTTCCATTGTCAAAGAGTTGCTAAAATACCACACACATATATATATATAAATTACAGAACTAAGGTTAAAATAAAGTCTGAAACACACATATATGTAATTAATCTTAGCAATGTTATATTAAAAATTGCTTTCGAGGATCTTCACAATGATATATTTCATTTTCACTCGGGCAGTCCTAGTGTGCTTTATCATAATCCATATAATTCAGATCTAATTTAAATCCATTTTCACTTGCATGGGAAGAAAAATGAAAGTAAACAATTAAAAAAATGAAAAATAATAAAGAAGTAAAATAAAACTGAAGTAAAATTTTCAGGCTTAATAACAAAGAACTTTTGTTAACTACTTCATCTGAGAGAGCAAATCAACTTGCATTGTTTGCACCTGCAAAAAATTGTGCTAATCACCGTTATTAAATAGTGCTAATTACACAATTATTAATTATCAGTTACTTTCATAAACGAGTAAGGCTGCATGGAAGAGTTTTGTCTATGACACGTACATAAAACATGCATCTGAAATATTAAAAATCAGTTGAATAGAATTCATAACTGTGTGACTTATAATTTCAATTGTAAGTACATTTTTTTGGTCACTCGCAAAGGTGTGCAGTTTTTGAAATAGAAGCACATTTTCTTCTGTTTATTTTACTACTGCTGGTAACTGATAAACAGCAAGTATATAAATATGGTCTTTTCTTTTCATATTAGCGTGTGTTGTGGCATAATTTTTTAATTTAATTTTTTTTTTTTTTTAGCGCAGTGGGGGGGGGGCCCACCAGCGGCCGAGCGGTAAAGTCGCTGAACACTGGTAGTTCGGTCCGAGGTTCAAATCCGCGGACGGGCTGCCTGCATGGTTGTTTTCGTGGTTTTCACCATGTGTAACGGGTATACGAGACAGTTTCCCTTAGAAAGCCCTCCACGAAGGCATCCCTCACCTTAGGCAGATAGCCCTCGAGGCTTTGCCGTAATTAAATAACCTAACCTAACCTAACCTTTAGTGCAGTG